CCCCATCGCGGGAAGGCGGCGCTAGGACCCGGCCTGGGAGGCAGCAGCGGCGATATCGTTATCGGCGGCGATATCGATATCGGTACCGGCAGCGGTATCGCAGCGCACTGCGGGGCGGGCGGAGCGGTCGGTGCACCCCGCGCGTCCCCTCCGGGCCCGTTCAGCCGGTGCAGGGGCGGAATTCGCCGTGTCCGGCGGGGGAGCGGCCCCCGCCCCGGGACCGGTGCGCGGGGGATAGAGGGGTGGGAAGGGTCCGGCTCCCGCCGTGTCGCCGCTGCTGGGGACTGGGGAGCTGCACCCCGAGGAGGGGGAGGACTCGGACGTGGGAGCGGCGGGAGGTTCGCGCCCGGGGCCGGGCGGGTTTTCCCCTTCCTGGGGAACGGGGGGGAATTCGCATCCGGGGCTGAGGGACCCTCGGGGTTCGCATCCGCGGCTGGGGGACCCCCGGCGGGGGAAGGGGGTCGGGTCTGGAGCAGCCCTTTCCCGCAGAGCGGCGATGTGAGCCCCGGGCCCCGCCATGGCCGAGCCCGCCGGAGGGGCCGGGCAGCCCCCGCCGCCCGCGGGGCGCAGGAGGTGACGGACCCCCCATGAGAGCCCCCGCCAGGTAAGGCCGAGGGGTCCCGCCGTGCGGTCCCCTCCGAGGGGTCCCCCATGGCCCCAGAGTTATGGAGGGAGAGAAGTGCGGTCCGGGAGTGGGGGTCCCACAGCCTCCCCAGCCCCCGCACGGCGAAGCCCCCCCAGCATCTCCCCCAGCATCACATGGCCTGGGCTCACCGGGCAGGCTGGCACCTTCCCGGGCACCGGTACCGGCCCTGAGAGCCCTTCGAGGTCTCAGCTCCCCCGAGGCGTTGATCCCAGGCTGTTGCATAATTTTCGTTCCAGTGCAATTAGTAAAGAGGCTTCAGGGTTTTTTAATTTCCACTTGGCTCCAAGCGCTCCAGGAGCGGCTGGGACTTACTGCCCAGGGCTCACAAAAGTAAACTGGGTCAGACCATTTCGAGTGGAGATTAGAGAGGGTCCCTGAGGTGCTCTGGGGTTCACCCCACACACCTCGGCCCTGGGCAGCTCTGCTGGATTCAAGCCTGTGCATGCACTGAGTTGGGCAGGTCTCACTTCCATCCGTGCCCTCCTGATCCAAGCCTCCACGGCTGTTGTTTTAATGGGATTTCACTGCACGAGCAGCAGGTTGACCCTCCCTGTGGTTTGAGCGGTTTCAGCCCCACCAGCAGAGGATAATCCTCCCTGGAGCCCAGCCCAAGACAGGGATCCTGCCAGCAGAAGCCGTGGCTTATCTGCACCCCAGAGCCTGCCTGACCTATGCCCACAGCATTTCCCTTCCCTGAATCGATTTCAAGGGTTTACCTTCCCCTTCAGAGGGAGGAGACCTGGGAACTCATTCCACATACAGCTCCTTCCGTATCCCCACCGGATCGGTATTGTATCCCCATGGGCCAGTGCTGGGGGTGACCATGTGCCTTGCAGGTGCTCACGGGATGCCAGCGACCACCGTGTGCTGAGACCACCACAAAGACATGAGTGGCAACGCGGTGAGTGCCAGGGAACCACCCCTGGGACCTCCCTGGGGATGCAAAGCGTGCTGCTGGAGGTACCATGGGAGCGGGGTGGGTGCTGACACCCGTGGGGTGGGTGGGGGCAGCAGCTGACGCTCTCCCCCTGCCCGCAGAGCCAACGCGCCGCCGCCCTGGGAGTCCTCTTTGCCCTGATTATGTTGCTGATCATCTACAGCTCCGGCAACGGGAGCGAGGTCTTCCCCTACAGCCGCCTGCGGGGCAGAACCCGCCGGCCCCCTGACCTCAAGAAGTGGGGGGTGAAAAGCGGGTACCTGCCTGTCTGTGGGAACAAGGTACGACCTGGGTGGCAGGGCCTGGCCTTGGTGGTGGGCACAGGGTCTGTCCCCCTGCTGGCATCCAGCCAAGTTGTCCCCTCCAGCAGGACGGTGGCTCTGCAGGGGACAGTGATGCTCTGTCCACGGTGACACCAAAAGTCACCTGCTCACAGCACTTGTCCTCACCAGACCCTGACTGCCCGCTGCCACCAGTGTGTCATTGTCACCAGCTCCAGCCACCTCCTGGGCACCCACCTGGGCACAGCCATCGATGGGGCCGAGTGCACCATCCGCATGAACGACGCTCCGACCACGGGCTATGAGGCTGACGTGGGCAACAAGACCAGCTTCCGCGTGGTGGCCCACTCCAGCCTCTACCGTGTCCTCAAGCGGCCCCAGGAGTTTGTCAACAAGACACCAGAGAACATCTTCATCTTCTGGGGGCCCCCTATCAAGATGCAGAAGAGCCTCCTGAAGATCATCCAGCGCGTCTGTGCCTCCTTCCCCAACATGACGGCCTATGTCGTGTCCCCCGGCCGCATGAAGCAGTTTGATGACCTGTTTCGGGGGGAGACAGGAAAGGACAGGTACCTTGGAGTCACCTCCCATGCAGTGTCCCCCTTTCTCCAGGTCCCCAAAGGAGAGCTGGCTCTTGGAGCTGCTTCATGGGCTGCAGCACTGAGCTGGGGGTCCTCAGGGCAGGTTGGGGACACTGGTGGTGTCCGTTATCCACATCACCTTACCCTTGTCATCCTTCCCAACCCCATTTTTTCCCTCTCCAGGGAGAAGTCGCGCTCGTGGCTCAGCACTGGCTGGTTCACCATGGTGATCGCGGTGGAGCTGTGCGACGCCGTCCACGTCTACGGCATGGTGCCACCCAGCTACTGCGGGTGAGGAGATCCCTGAGCCCCCACCCTGGCCCTCTGGCCCCACCACGGGGCTCACACAGTGCTTCTTGCCCACCACAGCCACCACCCCCCACCCCGCCGCCTGCCCTACCACTACTACGAGCCCAAGGGCCCCGACGAGTGCACGACCTACATCCACAACGAGCGGAGCCGCAAGGGCAACCACCACCGCTTCATCACCGAGAAGAGGGTCTTCGCCAGCTGGGCCGGCCTCTACAACATCACCTTCTCCCACCCCAACTGGCCCTAGGGGCTGTCCCCCCACCTGCCGGGCAGACCCCTGGAGCTGGGATGGATGGGGGTTTCCCTGCATCCCCCTGGGAGCGGTGGGAGCCAGGCATCGGGGTGCCACCGGGTGCCTCCCACAGGACCGCCCCCCTCGTGCACAGTGGCCCCATTGCACCTGGGATGTGTTGGGTTTTGAGCTGGTTTTTGGGGGGACCAGGTAGTGAGTGCAGGGTTTGTGGTGTCCCCCCTCCATAGACAGGAGACATGGGGGTGAGATTCTGTCCCACCCTGGTCCAGGCACATTGCAGCCCCTGCGAGCCTACAAGAGGGTGCCGGGTCACCTCTGCTCAGTTTGGGGTTGCACCACTTTTGGGGCAACTGCAGAGACTGTTTCCCCTAATTCCCTGAGTGGAAGGACCCCCTCTTGGAGCTCAGCCTCCCTCTGCCATACTGAGCCCCCCAGTCCCAGCCCTCAGTCACCCCTCCCTCAGCAGAACCCCACAGTTTTTGGTGGGACCCCGTGAGGGTGGCACTGCCACCCTTGCTGCCCCAGAATCCAGAAAACACCCAGCCCCTCCCAGCACTGCTGCGCCCCACACTGCCAAAACCTTTTCTAACTGAATGATGGGATTTTTGGGAGCTTTTTGGGGTTTTTGGCATTTTTTCTATCCACTTCTGGTCCCAGAGTTTGTATTTGGGTTTCCTGGCCAAAGGAACAAGCAGGGGCTGCTCATTAGTGGTAACAAAGGGCCAGCAGTAGCTGCTTATAAACAATTAGAAGTGGGCAGGTGGTGGGGGGCATTGGTGCTCCTTGGCACCCTGGGGCTGGATTTTGTTATTAATATCTTAGCAGTGGAGAGGTGGATTTGGGGAAAACAGCTAAATATGGTGTGTTTGGGTGCTGAGCCTTGGCAGGGCTCCGTGCCTTGGTTTCCCTCTGACTGTGGCTGGGGTTTTGCGGGGCTCGGTGCAGGGGGAAGCTGCGGGGTGCCTGTGTTTTGTAATGGTTTGTACAGGAATAAATATTGCTGCAGTCTGTTGCCTTGGGCCCTGGCTTTGGGTGGGTTTTTGGGGCTGATGGTGCCATCACAGCAGGTCTCTCCACCCCCAGCTCACAGTGGAGCTGTCCCTAGGTGCTCAGGAGGGTGTGGGAAAGGGACTAGTGTGTCCAGGTGGGATCCGTGTCCAGTTCCTGGCTGACTCCAGTTCTGAACCACCCCCCCAGTGTGGGTGGCAGCTGAAACCCCCCCCCAAATTGATTCACCCCCAGCCGCCTGCCCTGGGGTCATGGGGTCTTGAGCCAGGGTCTCTGCAGCCACAGAAGAAGAGGAGTAAGGGCAGGTAAGTGTAAGGACTTAGAGATCACAGATGCCTGTCTCAAACACTGTTGCCACTTTGCCATGAGATGGGCACAGAACGCAGAGGCAGGATGGCGCTGGCTCCCGGCCTGGCGAGGTCTGGCTGGAACATTCTCGGTGGTGTATCCAGACAAGGGTTCCCACCATGGCAACCTGTGGGGTGAGGCAACTGTTCGTATGCATATCACCTGTCAAACAAAGACCACCCCAGGTTATGGCACAGATGGCATCTGTGACCCCCAAAGCCCCCCCCCCCCGCCCTGAATGTTCCTTGAACTTGGACTGTAAGTTACGCCACCGTGAGGGGAACCTGAGATAAGATAACGGTGATACCAGTGTCTCAGACTACGGGGTGGTAAACAAAGCTGAAAGAATGTATCTCTGATGATGGATACAAAGAATCCACAAGGAAAAACAACTCAGTAACTTTGCCGAAAACAGCTCCGACTGGGTAAAAGGTAACTCTGTGATCTCTGGGGGAGATCACGACCACTGACCACAACCCACCGACTCAGAAACCCACCGACCTCAGGACCCCAGCCATCAAGAAGCCCAGGGTGAAGAAGGACCAGCAGGACACTGATGGATCCAGGTGGTGACTATATTCTGCTTGATCTCTCTCTCTTTCTCTCCGTGTGTCTCTCTCCCTCTACCACCTTTTTTTTTTATTTCTATCTCTCTACCTCACATTTTATTGCCAAATAAAATCTGTACTATTGACTTCAGCATATGGTCTTGTTTGCACCTTAATTCAGGTAGAAGCATCTCTCAATAATCAGCTCTTAACAAGGACACCACAACCCCCCTGGGGGTGGCAGGGGGGTGTCAGCTGGGGATGGGGACATGGGGATGGGATGGGAATATCAGGACATTAGGGACAAGGATGGGGACATGGGGGTGGGATGAGGACATGGGGGTGGGATGGGGACATGAAGACATTAGGGACAAGGATGGGGACATGAGGACGGGGATGGGGACATTAGGCATAGGGACAGGAATGGGGACATTAGGGACAGGAGTGGGGACATCAGGGACATAGATGGGGATGGGGATACGAGGACGGGATGGGGAGGGGACATCAGAACAGGGGTGAGAACAGCGCTCCCCTCCGAGGGGCTGGAGGAGGAGGCGCGGGGAGCCCCAGGGACCCCAGACCTAGCAGGGTGGGGGCTCGCCCCGCAGTGGGGGGACCCTCACTCCCGGCCGTGCAGGGTTTAACCGCATCCCCCCGCCCATCCTCCTCCGTGCGCGGGCGGGCGCAGGGACCGCCGTGTCCCCCGTGTCCCGTCGCCATTCCCCTTGTCCCCCCCGGTATGTCCCCGCCGTGTCCCCCCCGTGTCCCCCCGCCCGCCCGCTCGCGCTGCCGGTGCCGCGCGCTCCCGGCGTGCCCCGCGCGCCGCCGAGGTCTATAAATAGCGGTACCGCGGGCACGGAGCGGGCGGCGGCGGGTCCAGGTCAGTGCCAGACCCCCGGGGGTCCCGGACGGGCACCACGACACCGGCCGGGCACGGGGGGGGGGGAGAGGAGCGGGGCAGGGGACCTTTACTGGGGGCGCGCAAGGGGTGCTGGAGGGGCTGCAGCGGTGCTGGAGCAGCCCGGTCCTGGGTCTGGGGTCCCCGGGGGATGTTGGATGCCGATGGGATGGGGGAAGGTGGGTTGGAGCTGGCGGTGGGGGGAGATCGGTGGGAGCACCCCGGGGTGCAGCCCGCAAATAGCCTTGGTTGGGGAGTCCCAGGCCACGCTGCACCCCCCCGCCCAACCCCCTCCCCAGCCCCGACCCGAGGGGTTCAGCGCCCTCCGATCTCCTCCGGAGCAGTCACCTCCACATCACCTTCACCCTGCGCCCGTGGGACCAGCACCGCGCCGGATCAGGCCCTGAGACCGCACTAAGGGCCAGTGCTGCCCGCAACCCCCCGTCACGATCACCACAGCCCCCCATCGCCCAGCCAAGGCTGGTGCCAGTGGTCCCGGGGCTCAGAGCCCTCTGCAATTAGGGACCCAGGGGTCCTGCGCCCCCCAAACTCCGCAGGGGTTGCCCCGGGGCTTCGTCCCTGCAGCGCAGGAGGGACGTGACCCGGTGCCGCTTTCAGCCCGGCCATTCTTAGCCTCTGCCCTTTCGAGGCTGTAACACGACCTGTCACCGGCCGCGGGCCCCTCTGGCTACCGGGTGCCCCATCCCTGCACCCCGTCCAGCCGGTTTGGGGTGACGCACCGTGGCCAAGCACGTCGAGTGCTGCAGGGTTGGGTGTGGGCAGGTGGGGTGGCCAAACCCCCCCGAGGTCCTGGGGGTGCAATGGGGTGCTGCAACCCCCTCCTTAGGCCACGGGCACGTCCCTAAAACCATCCCATGGGGAGCTGGGGGTGCTGCCTCCATCGCTCGGTGTCCTGGTGGCACTGGGCATCCCAAAGGGGTTTCCTGTTGTCGGGCAGCACCCTGGGCACAGGGATGTGGGCAGGGCAGGGGAGGAAGCCCGACACGTCACAGCACGTCACCCGGCATGGGGAAGCCCTCGCCGCAGCCGGATGCGGAGGGTGACTGCTGGAAGCCAGGTAAGTGATGGCTATGGAAGCAGAAATCCTGAGCTCCCTATTTCAGGGCCAAGCCAGGGGTTGTGTCTTCTGTCCCACTCTGCCCGACTGGGCCATGGAGCTGGGCACCATCATGGCCAAAAAGGGAGACCCTTTTTCTCCACAAACACTTGTTGACCTGTGTGTCCCTGATGTACTGAGTTGTTTATCCTGCTCTTCCTTTGCAGCCTTAAGTGCTTCTGTGCCTGGAACACGGCAGAATGTCAACAGGTGAGTGATCCATTCCCCTGCATCCATCCCTTCGGTTCCTCCTGCATCCATCCCCCCTGCATCCAACCCCCCAGTATGCCCTGCATCCATCCCCCCTGTATCCATCCCCTCAGTATCTCCTGCATCTATCCCCTCAATCCCCCCTGCACCCATCCCCTCTGCATTCCCCTGTGCCCTTTGTATCCATTCCCTTGGTCCCGCCTGCATCCATTCCCCCTGCATCCATCCCCTCGGTTCCCCCTGCATCCGTCTGCTCTGCATTCCCCTTTCCCCCATGCCTCATCCCCATTGTCCCTCCCCCCTGCATCTGCCCCCCTTACAGGCAACCCCTGATCCCCTTTGCATCCATCCCCTCCATCCCTGCCCCGTGCCCTTGCCTCCCTCCCTTCTGTCCATCCCCCATGTTCCTCCAGCCGCCCCACGTGCCCCACATCCCATTGGTCCCCGCCAGCCACTTGGCTCTGTCCCCAACCCTGGGGAACGCCGGGTGCCAGAGGAGTTGAAATTTCACCCAGCTGTAATCAGGAGATGGGAAAGAGGCCCCAGAGCAGCTCGACTTTATTTTTAGCTGTGCCTCCCCCTGCCATGGTGTCACACCCCAGCTCTACCCCACACCACGGCTGGGACAGATCCCACAGGTGGGAGGAACCCTGTGCCAGGGCACTGGGCAGGGGACAGGGCGGTGAGTGCCACCCGCACGTCAGCCACCAGGTCCAGGGACTGATACTGGGGACCAGGGACTGCCTGGGTCATACCAGGTGCTCGAGATGGCCGAGCCAGGCTGAGCCTGCCACAGCCCCGTTAGCCCACCAGGGTGAGAAGCCACCTGCAGGGATGGAGCCGTGGACAGTGACGCCTCCGGGACACCATGTGGCAGTGGGATTCCAGCCCTGTGCCTGAGGTGCCGTGGGCTGTGTGCTCAGACGTGTCCAGACATCCCAACCTGCCCAGGTGATGAGGACACGCAGCTACTTCTCTGTCCACTTCCCCCCCAGGGCCCTGGGATTAGTCCCCTCCATCCCCAGGGATGGACACCTGCTCTGGATGTGGCACCCCCTGGGGACACTTTGCTCACTGAAGGACTTTCTGGGTTTTTTTGACTATTTTTTTCCCTTCTCTCCTCTAGAAAAGCTCAAGCAGCACAAAATCATCTTCGTGGTGGGTAAGTCTGTGTTTGGGTCTTGTCACTGGTGGGGTCAGCCCAGACCTCTTCCTCGCACCTCCAGGGTGGGAAGCTGGGGCTGGAGGCTGAGTCTGGGGCTGTTCCCAGGCACTGTGGGGTGGCCATGGCTCTGGCTTGGCTCCTTGAGGCCACAGTGGGGTGTGTTGGGGCCAGGAGGGCACCTCTGTCCAGGCATGGGATGGCAGCATCTCTAACAGTGAACCCCTGGGGGGTGATGTGATAACAAACCCCTGGGGGTTGATGTCCTGGGTGCCACCAGGGTGTGGTGCCCACATGCCAATTGCCAACAGCCCCTGCCACCCCCAAGCACTTTGCAACCACCAGCCCACCCCAGGAGCAGCTCTGTCCATCCATCTGGTGCTGCACTTGGGGACACTGAGCCCCACATCACCAAGCTCTGAGGACTCCTGTGGGTCCATGCTGCTACTGCCACATACCCCTCCCTCTCCTCGCCCACGGCTTGGGGGACGTGTGTGCCTTGCAGGTGGCCCTGGCTCGGGGAAGGGGACGCAGTGTGAGAAGATTGTGCAGAAGTATGGCTACACCCACCTCTCCACGGGGGACCTGCTGCGGGCCGAGGTCAGCTCGGGCTCGGAGCGGGGCAAGAAGCTGCAGGCCATCATGGAGAAGGGAGAGCTGGTGCCCCTGGTGAGTCCACACGGGCATGGTGGGGCTGCAGGGGTGTTACATGCTCATGGCTCAGGCATCTCTGGCCCTGCCACCCCAGGGTGGGGTTTGCAGCAGGGATCGGGGGTCCTGGGTGGGGGGTACGTTGTTCATATCAACCACAGCAGCTCTCTCCTCCCCTCCCCAGGACACAGTGCTGGACATGCTCCGGGACGCCATGGTGGCCAAAGCAGACGTGTCCAAGGGCTTCCTTATCGATGGATACCCCCGCGAGGTGAAGCAGGGAGAGGAGTTTGAGAAGAAGGTGAGGGACTGGTGCTATGCCATGCCATGCTGTGCCATGCCACACATCGTCCTGGCACAGGGACTCCATCCAGCAGCAGGCTGGACTCTCATTCCAATGAAGATCACATCCCAACCGGGTCTAAACTGGGCACCATCCCAGCCAGCAGGGCTCCCTGCCTTGGGAACAGCCTGTGTCCATGGTGCAGTGGGAGGGACCAGGGTGTCCGTGAGCTGACAGGGTGACAACAGTGCTGACATGATGGCGATGGCAGAGAGCCAGGGCTTGGTCACAGTGTCCCTTTCCTTTCATCTGCATGGCTCTGGAGGCCACCGAAACAGTGGAGGGAGGCAGAGGATGGCACGGGGACATCTGTGACCCTCGTGCTGACCACCACCATCTCCCCAAACCAAACCAGACCACACCTCACCAACTTGGCTGGGTGACAACTGTGTCCCCTCTGCCCACAGATTGCCCCCCCCCACGCTGCTGCTCTATGTGGATGCGGGGAAGGACACGATGGTGAAACGGCTGCTGAAGCGAGGCGAGACCAGTGGGAGGGTGGACGACAACGAGGAGACCATCAAGAAGCGTTTGGAGACCTACTACAAGGCCACAGAGCCCGTCATTGCCTTCTACAAGAGCAGAGGCATCGTCCGCCAGGTGAGCAGGGATATGCTCATGTGGTCCCAGGGGAAGGGAAGTGATGGATGGGGATGATGAGGAAAAGGGGAAAACTCAGTCCTGGCTTGTTTGAGGTGGGCTTGTCCCCTCTCACTCCCAACACGGAAACTCCCTCCAAGGATGGCCTGCACCCCTTTGCCCTAAATGAGCCGCGGTCTCTCTGCCCGTGGCCAAAATCCATCCTTGGAAGAGCTCCAGTTGCTCCCAGGGGAGAGCCCTCGGGTGAGCTCCCCAGCTAACCCCTCCATACCCAGCTCAACGCCGAGGGCTCCGTGGAGGAGGTTTTCCAGCAGGTCTGCACCCACCTTGACTGCCTGTAACCGAACCCCCGGCCCCACTCCCCCCAGTGCACTCCAGCAGAGACAGCGGAAGCGGCTTTATCCTGTTTTCGTGGACGGAGCCATGCGGAGGAAATTTCAAGGACATTGTGTTTGGCTCTTTCCCGTCTCTCCCCAGTAAAGTTCACTTTAATGAACCCAGACTTTATCTTTTTCTTCTGTCGCAGGAAATGAGATTTTCTTTCCAGAGATTTTTTTTTTTCTCCCCCTCTGACTCCCCCCTGCCCCTCTGGAGCTGATTAAGGGCAGGAAGCGGGTGTTTATCCCACCGGGGCAGTGGGATGCTGTACTCGGAGGAAGGGAGGGATCATCCCGGCCGCTTGCCCTGGCTTCCCAATCCATAGCCTGCGGGGAGCCTGTGGCTGCATTTTGCAGCCAATCCTGCTCGCCCCATCCCGTCCCACTTGCTGAACCCTCTCGTGCTCCTGGGGTGTGTCTGGAGACATGGCAGCATGTGAGCCGTGTCCTGCACATGCATCCCTTCCCCTCCCTCCGCTCTCCTGCTGGCTGCCAGAGGCTGGAGGCGACCGGATTTGGGATGGGGATTTCCACCACTTTCATGCCTTGGCATTTCCTTCCTTCTTGTTGGCTGTCAGGGTTTTTTGGGGTATGCGGTGGCTGCACTGTGAAGGTTCGAGGTGGCATAATGCCCTGGAGTGGGGTGCTCCCTGCCTGGGCACTCGCTGCCAGCAGTGCCACCTCTCAGTCCTGTCCCCAGGGGCTGAGGGATGCACTGGGGACACTCAGGCAAGCCTGGCCACCAGGCTGCATGTCCTGGTGGATGAGAGACAGGGTGGGGGTCCTTATGAGAGTGAGTCACAGGACCTCAGCAGGACCCAGTTGGGGGTGCTGCTGTGGAGGACAGGGGGTTTGGGGGGTCCCCAGCACCCACGGAGCTGCCCAGGTCCCCAGCACGATGCCACAGCACAGGGACTGCGGTGGGGATTGGGGCCAGGATTTACCCAGCACAGTGAGGGCAGGAGGCAGCAGAGCCGCAACCCCAACGGGGCCCCCCACCACTTACTTTTGGGCTGCTGGGAGCTGGGCACAGAGCCAGGGGGCTGGGGGTTGGGAGGGGCAGCAGCGCTGGGGTCAGCCAAGGCCACGAGGCCACGGAGCCAGAGTGGAGAAAGGAAGCGAGCGGGGAAAAAACAAAACTCCCCAAGACGAAAAACCCAAACCCGCCAGGCTCCGACGTCAGCCCTGTGCCCGGGGGGCGATGAGCCACCGGCAGAGCCGGGGCACTGTGGGGAGGCAGGCGGGCAGGAAGGATGCAGCCATCCGGCCGGGGCTGGGACGCTGCCAGGACAGCGATCCAGGGCCAGGGCCGGCGGGTGTTTGCCTCGTGCCGGTGGGGACGAGGGATCAGGGGGGTTGGGTGGTTTGGGACACCGTGGCCTAAAGCTGGGGAGTGGGGTGGCCCGTCTCTCACATGCCTCCCCCATCCTTCTTTGGGTGTACTGTGAGTGTGCCTCAGTTTCCCCAGGTGGTGAACAGAGCAGTGGGGCTGGGATGGAGGCCCTGCCTTTCTCCCCAGTACGGCCTCTGGGTGTTTGGGGTTGGGGTTTAGATGCTTTTCTTCTGTCTGGAAAGGCCAGAGCCAACCCATAAGCCGTGAGGGGAGAAGGTGCTGGGTTGAATGGGGTTCAGGGGGCTGCACATTTGGCCACCCCACAGTCACAGCCACCCCCTTCTGTCACCCTGCAATTGCCACCATTCCAATGTCCATCACCGAGGGTCTCTTGCCCATTAACCTGCGGTGTCACCACAGAGAGAGGGGTGCAGGAGGGCCAGGGGACACTGTGCCTGGTCCCAGTCCCCATCGCTGTCCTCATCCCCGGGTAAGCACCCGTCCCCGCGGTCCCCAGGAGATGGCAGTGCTCTGTCATGGGAGATGGCTCTGCTCACCCCGGGTCACCGACATCTCCGGGGACATCACGGCTGTGGGGACAGGCGTCGCTGGTTTCCCTGGCAGGTCCCCATTCTGTCCCCATGCCCGTGAACCGTGGGTCAGGATGGAAAGTACCCCCGGGGATCTGTGCCTACCCCCGGCACGGGCGTCCCAGCCCCACTGATAGCTGTGTGAGGGCTCTCTCCTTGGCCAGCAGCCACTGGCACATGCAGAAGGAATGGGGTAGGGGTGCAGAAGGGGGTCCCTGGGTGTCCCCAAACACCCCATGGTTCCCACCTTGGCGGTGCTCGGCTTTGACCCCCTTGCCCAGACACCCCTGTCCCAAAGGACCTCCCGATCCCAAACCCCAAACTCTGCCAGGCAGGAGTGTTCGGGCAGCCCTGGCTGTGGCCTGGTCAAGGGTGCAGGCAAGGCACTCAGCGGTGCTGGGGGGCCTCCACCTGCCCCATGGCCCCAGAGTGGGTGTCCAGGGCCATGGGACAGCCACTGGCCTGAGACATGGTGACCCCACTGGGGTGCTGGCTGGGAGCAGTGGGAGCTGAATGTCGGGGGCAGTTCCCATCCCTGTCACTTGGGATGTCCCTGTCCCTTTCCCCATTGCCTGGCGTAGCCCTCCCATCCCCATCACTGGATGTAATTTAGGAGGGTTGGACCTCACCAGAACTCCTGTGTCCCACCCACCCCCCCCCACCAGTGCCAGCCCTGGGTGTCCCTGGGGACACCCACCCCGGGTACCAGCGCCCTCTCCCTGCTCGGGGCGCTCCCAGCGCGCCCCTCCTGAGGCGCAGCCCCGCAGAGCGCTGGGGGGAAACTGAGGCACGGCGCCTCCGGGGGAGGGGGGTCCGTCCTCTCCGCCCCCCCCCGCCCCGCCGCCGGCCCGGCCCCAGCGCCGCCAGCGGCATTTCCTCCGCCGCGGACCCTCCTCCGAAGGGAGTCGGTTTCCTGCCGCTGCCGCCGCCCGCACTCCGCGCTGGCTCCCGGGGAGCGGCCGCAGGCGGACATGGGCCCCCGCGCCGCCCCGCTCCTGCCGCTGCTCCTGGCGCTGCTCGGCCGCCCGGGTGAGTGGGGATGGGGGGCACCGCGGGACGGCACCCCCGGGATGGGACCGTCGCGATGGGACCGCGGGACTGGACCCCCGCGACGGGAAAGCGGCGACTCTGGGTCGGTGGCCAAAGGGGTCCCGTCTGTGCCCGCACAGTGTCACCCCCAAAAACCGCCGGGAGAGAAGGATTTTGGGGGCAGCCCCGAGGGTGGTGAGGGATAAACCCACCCCGAGCTCCGGGAACACACACAGCACAGCCCGGCCACTCCCTGGGACCCCCCAAAATCCCGGCTGCGTCACCAGGGCGCAGAAAGTGTTGAAGACGCTGTTGCCGAGCCCTGGTCAAGGCAATGGCACCCGGGGGGTCTGGAGTGGTTTTGGTGGCCTCCCACCACCATGGGGTGTGGAGGTGTTGACGAAGACCTGGGAGCAAAAAACGGGAAAAACCCTGTAAAGCCCTGCATGGTATATGGGGATGGAGCTGGAGGGGAGGAATGGGTAAAAATTAGCATGGGACGTGGAAAAGGAGATGGAGGTTTGGCTGCCTCCAGAGCAGTTGGGCCACCCCGAGGTCCCTTCAAAGCTACAGGAGGAATTTCAAGGGGGTCATGCCCAGGGACATCGGAGCTGATGGAGGGCAGGGAGCTGGGTTCCTGGGGACATGGCCTGCTGGCAGAGGGGAAGGGAGCTGGGAAGGCAGCGGCTGCCCAGAGGGGCCGGGGCCAGCGGCACTGCGTGTCCTGGCTGGGTCAGTCCCTCCCAGCCACCTCGGGGGCCAGCGCTCGTGGGTGGCCCCACTGCCAGGCTCGATGCCCACTCTTATTTCACAACCCTGTGATATAAGACAGTCCCTGTCTGGTGAGGCTGTGCCATGTGGACCGTGTCCCCCATAGCTGTGCTATTATGGTCCCCATCCTAGTAGATGTACAGTAAGTCCTGTGTAGCTGTGAGGCTCAGTCCCCATCCTATAGCTGTGCCATAGAGTCCCTGTCATGTTTATATGTGTGATAAGGTCTGTGCTCTCTGTAGCTGTGCCATGTGGTTCCCCACGCTACGTAGATGTGCAATAAGGTCCCTGTCCTCTGTAGCTGTGGGTTCAGTCCTCATCCTATAGCTGTGCTGTGTGCTCTGCATCCTATGTCATTGTGCCACAGAGGCTTTGTCCTCACTGTCTATGATGTATAGTCCCTATACCACATAGCTGTGCTGTCTGGTCCCCATCCTACACAGCTGTGCAGTGTCATTTCTGTGCCATACAGTCCATGTCCTTTGTATTTGTCCCCTGCAGTCTCCATCCCATACGGCTGTGCCATACATACCCTAGCACATCTGTGCTATGTGGGCTGAGTCCATATGGTCCCCATCCTGAGTGTCTGTCCCTATGGTCCCCATCCTATGTAGCTGTGCTGTACAGTCCCTATCCTACACAGCTATTGTACACTGTCCCTGTCCCACGTAGCTGAGTGGTGCAGTCCTTGTCCTGACTGTGCTCTATGGTCCCCAGCCGATACAGCTGTGCCGTACAGTCTCTGTCTTATGTAATGGAGCTGTATCGTCCCTGTCATATGTATCTGTGCCTGTATGGTCCCTGTCCTGTGTCACTCTGCCATATAGACCATCTCCTATGACCATACCACCTCTAACCTATGCAGCTGTGCTATATGGACCCCATTCTATGTGACTGTGCCATATTGTCCCTCTCCTACGTAGCTGTGCTGTAGGGTCCCCATCTTGCATAGCTGTGCTATGTGGTCCGTGTCCTGCATAGCTCTGACATTGTCCCTGTCCTGCCTACCTGTGCCACTCACCATATCCTGTCCAGTTGCTGCCTCTCCCTCACAGGGACCCATGGGGCTGGGAATGCCCACAGTGGACCTGTGCCATGGGACTGAGGTGCCCACAGCGGGTGCAGTGCTGTGGGCACAGACACAGCAGGCTTCCAGAGGTGGGGGACTTTGTGCCCTTCAGCAGGGACCAGCACCGCTCCCCATGGAGTGAACACGGTGCTGAGTCATCCCTTCCCACCCCTGGGGAGAGGCTTCTCGGCACCCAGCTGACTTAGATTGGCAGTTATGATGTGGCTTGCGTCAGACCCGAAGCCTGGTCCCGTCCACCCCTGAGCCCTGATGCCACCTCTGTGTGGTCCAACAGCCAGCAGTGGCTCGGAGGATGACAACTCCCTC